ATGCGGTTTGACCGATAAAGATCTTCGTAGAATATGTAGGAGCCAATATGAGCATCCAGGTTCCACTATTGGTTATTGACCGGAAACAGTTCTAGGTCATGTCTAGATAGTTCTCGAACCCGTAGGGTCCGCACGCTTAAAGTTACGATGACAGTTTTATTATGAGTTTATATGTTTTGATATACTGAAGGTTGTTCGGAGTCCCGGATGTGATCACGGACATGACGAGGAGTCTCGAAATGGTCGAGACATAAAGATTGATATATTGGAAGCCTATATTTGGATAACGGAATCGTTCCGGGAGAAATCGGGATTTTTCCGGAATACCGGGGGGTTACCGGAACCCCCCCGGGGGTTAATGGGCCTACATGGGCCATGAAGGAGAAGAGGAAGGGCCGGCTAGGGCAGGCCGCGCCCCCCCTTTCCTCTTTCCCCTTCCCCCTTTCCTTCTTCACCAAGGCAAGAGGGGGTAGTCCTACTCCCGGTGGGAGTAGGACTCCTCCAGGCGCACCCCTAGGGGTCCGGCCGCACCTCCCCCTCCCTCCTTTATATACGGGGGCAGGGGGGCACCTCTAGACACACAAATTGATCTTCGTGATCGTTTCTTAGCCGTGTGCGGTGCCCCCCTCCACCATATTCCACCTCGGTCATATCGTTGCGGTGCTTAGGTGAAGCCCTGCGTCGGTAGAATATCATCATCGTCACCACGCCGTCGTGCTGACGGAACTCATCCCCGAACGTGTGCTGAACTCGGAGGTGCCGTACGTTCGGTGCTTGGATCGGTCGGATCGTGAAGACGTACGACTACATCAACCGCGTTGTCATAACGCTTCCGCTTTCGGTCTACGAGGGTACGTGGACACACTCTCCCCTCTCGTTGCTATGCATCACCATGATCTTGCGTGTGCGTAGGAATTTTTTTGAAATTACTATGTTCCACAACACGAAATCCTTCATGCATATAAACTACTCCCACGTGATCCAACCCGCACGGGATGACACCCCAGTCGATGGATCTGGACTGGTCGGAGTCAGACCACAACCCGCCATGCCGGAGACGGCCGAAGATTGCTGGAGGGGAGCTTGGGTGGTGGAGGGGAGCGACTAGGGTTTGATCCGGCGAGCGGATGGGAAGGAATATATATGGGCTGGATATGAGGGGTGCCGGTCAGTCCGGACGTTTGAGACCCTTTGAGGCGTCTGTCTGGATCAAAATTCTGTGACCGGTCAGTGACTTGACCGTCCGTCTGGATGTTTGAGACGGACATTGGATGTCTGGTTGTAGATGCTCTAATGTATGATACTCCACACTATAAAAAGCGCATGCTTACATTTAAATCCAGTAGACAACTAGACATGATACATTTTGTGTGAATTCGTGGGGCATCATACCCGGGTGCACGCAGCACGGATCTCTGGATAATCAAACCCCAGTAACCGATCAACCAGAACACGATGGGCACAGATGGTCGGCAGAAAGCCGAGTTGGACGCGATGGGCACACGGCGTGAGGTAACCGTCACGTTGTTGTTTGACGCTGACCCCTCCTATGTCACCGCCGCACCCATATGCCCCGCTAGGCAAAAATGCTTGGATCACATGTCCATGCGCTCTGAATAATGGACAGAGCACCGGCTGCACTGCAGGCTTGTGTGCCACACGCCCATGCAAAATTGATCCACAACCAACGCTTTGCTGAACGGGGCGTTTGGTTTGTGAGAGCATCTTTTTTTTCAAGAACATGCAAGAGCATTGCATGTCTTTTCCGTTAAGAAGAAGAGGGAGATCCCAATACAAAGATCATTACGGGGTCATATCCGTCGTCGAGGGCCATGGCCCACAACGCGCTTTTAGTGGATCTGAAAGGGGTGTCCACCCGCTACCCTAGCATGATGGTCGGCAGAAAGCCGAGTTGGATGCGATGGGCACACGGCATGAGGTAACCGTCACGTTGTTGTTTGACGCTGACCCCTCCTACGTCACCGCCGCACCCATATGCCCCGCCAGGCAAAAATGCTTGGATCACATGTCCATGCGCTCTGAATAATGGACAGAGCACCGGCTGCACTGCAGGCTTGTGTGCCACACGCCCATGCAAAATTGATCCACAACCAACGCTTTGCTGAACGGGGTGTTTGGTTTGTGAGAGCATCTTTTTTTTTTCAAGAACATGCAAGAGCATTGCATGTCTTTTCCGTTAAGAAGAAGAGGGAGATCCCAATACAAAGATCATTACGGGGTCATATCCGTCATCGAGGGCCATGGCCCACAACGCACTTTTTAGTGGATCTGAAAGGGGTGTCCACCCGCTACCCTAGCATGAGTCCACAGGCGGAGCTCAACACGAATTAGTGCGACAATGTCGGCTGGTGAGGATGTCTTGCGTTCAAAGATATGACTGTTACGCTCTAGCCAGATGTAACACAATGTGGCCGTGATGTTCGTGTTCGTTTGCCTCCGTTGTTCTGCCGATACCGCCTCCGCCAGCTAAGGCCACCAGTCGGTAAGACACGTTCTTCCATCCGGTGTGAAGCGATGCAACCTCAGGGGAAGCAGCACGTTGTACCAGACCTCGGGCGCATAGGGGCAACCAAGAAGCATGCGCGTGGTGTTCTCATCTTCCTGGCAACATAGCTGACATAAATTGTAATCCCCTACAAAAAAATCCGGTTTAAGGAAGAAAGGAAAGCCAATCTAGTATTTTCGTATCAAAACCTTTTATACTAAAAAATCCAGGTAGAAGGTCCTCAAATACATACTTCCCGCTACAAAAATATGCAGGCCGAACACACTCTCCGCAAATTTTCCCTCCTCTCACTCGCCCATCCGACCTGCACCGTCCCGCCTGCAGCCCTGCCCCCTCCCTCTCCCCCCCCCCGCCGCCTTCTTCGTCGTCGCCAACTGTAGCGGTCAAAATCGTCGCAATACTTCATAAGTTGAGTCTATCCAAACACCATTGTTCAGATAACAATGTGTTCTTATTTTGATGATATCTCTGTTACTTTAACAATGCCAGTGTTCATGAAAACAAGATCATCAGCAATACACGGGCTAGTCCTAAAGGACTAGGGATCCATTTGGTGTTTATGTTTTCACACATGCACTTGAGTTTGCTCGCTTCAGTTCTTATAGTCGTCGCTAGGTGGTCTACGGAACTGGATGTAAATTTTACTTTTAGTGTTCTTTCTACTGCCTTGACAGTTATGAATTGATCATAAGTTTTCTCGCAAAAAAAGTCTCTATGTGGGCCGCTGGGCCTGCTACACATTGCAGATAAAATACTCCCTCTGTCCGTAAATACTTGTCATCAAAATGAATAAAAGGGGATGTATCTAGATGTATATTAGTTCTAGATACATCCCTTTTTATCCATTTTGATGACAAGTATTTTCAGACGGAGGGTGTATTTGTCGAAGCTAATAGTATTTGCTAATGTGGGGGTTTGATCTCAACACGTCATCTACTGTCCGAAATCCTTCATGCATATAAACTATTCCCACGTGATCCAACCCGCACGGGATGACACCCCAGTCGATGGATCTGGACTGGTCGAAGTCAGACCACAACCCGCCATGCCGGAGACGGCCGAAGATCGCTGGAGGGGAGCTTGGGTGGTGGAGGGGAGCGGCTAGGGTTTGATCCGGCGAGCGGATGGAAAGGAATATATATGGGCTGGATATGAGGGGTGCCGGTCAGTCCGGACGTTTGAGATCCTTTGAGGCGTCTGTCTGGATCAAAATTCTGTGACCGGTCAGTGACTTGACCGTCCGTCTGGATGTTTGAGACGGACTTTGGATGTCTGGTTGTAGATGCTCTAATGTATGATACTCCACACTATAAAAAGCGCATGCTTACATTTAAATCCAGTAGACAACTAGACATGATACATTTTGTGTGAATTCGTGGGGCATCATGCCCGGGTGCACGCAGCACGGATCTCTGGATAATCAAACCCCAGTAACCGATCGACCAGAACACGGTGGCAAGAGCGCGTCGACTGGGCATGCAAAGGAAAGGAGAGTGACAGAGGGACAAACAAAGTTGTGAGGACAGCCTGAAATATGGAGTAGTTCACTTCAGACGTTCCGGCAAGGACGAGAACCAACAACAGCACCCCCACTTCCCAACCGTCTCCTCGTCGAGAAGAATCTTTCGGGAAGCCTCTCCGGTCTCCCATCCTCCCCCCGCCGTCGCCGTCGCCGTCGCCTCCGCCCGCGACTCCTCACCAGGTGAGTCCCTTCTCTCTTCGCCGCCGTTTGTTGGTTCTTCTTCTTCTGCTCCTTTTGGCTGGGTGTATGCGTGAGATCAGCCGATTGACTTCTGAGTGGAACTCACCGGACTGGGCGTTAGATTTGGTTGTCTATTTTTGTGGTTCCGTAGAAGTACTTTTGGACTAAAGGCGAGATTCTGGACAAAACCCCCCTTTTCCCCAATTTAAAAGCACCTGCAAGAGTGTGTTGATCCTGAATCCATGAACCCGGAAGATTGGAGGTCAATATATCTTGCACTGGAACGCGATTTGTTCCGGGTAATATCTAATTGAGGCGAACTCGACTGGTCCTTGTACTTAGAATTTGTAGTGAGATGCAGACGTTATGATCAGTATCTGTAGTAGTATCGTCTACTGAATGAATGAACATTAAAATACATGCACAGATGAAATGATCAATCCGTTGTTTTCTGACACTGAATATTGTGTGTCGTTAATTACTCGCATAGTTTTCGTTATGTAACTATCTGAAAATACGCCCACTGCTCAGTTTCAAAGGAGATTAGGAGACTAACCACCTTTGCTACCATCTATTCCCAGAGACTACTTAGTTTGAACGAACTTTCCATTTTTCCATCACAGTCCCTTATTCACACTGCAACTTAGTTTGAACGAACTTTCCATTTTTCCATCACAGTCCCTTATTCACACTGCAACTTAGTTTGAGCGAGCTGCCCATTTCCCATCATAGTCCATTCACACTGCAAGACCGACGAGGGACACTAATCACATGTTTTTTTTTGCTGCTAATGTAGCAATGCAGCTGTATCACCATCCGTATTCACTGGACAGTCAGAAGGTGCGGATAGCCCTGGAAGAGAAGGGTATTGACTACACATCATATCATGTCAATCCACTAACAGGGAAAAACATGAATGTGACCTTCTTCCGAATGAACCCTTCAGCGAAGCTCCCTGTCTTCCAAAATGGCGCTCATGTCATTTTCCGCGCCATCGATATCATTCAGTACGTTCTTTCATTCACCTTTGGAATGGCTCAAACTTAGACACATTCGATACTGCTGACCAAACAGCAATATTCATTTATCTCCTCTATATTTTCATAGGTACATAGACAGACTCGCGGTGCACTTAAGCGGCGAAATCCAGCCTGTGAATACTGAGGTTCTCCAGTGGATGCAGAAAGTTGATGGTTGGAATCCTAAGATGTTCACACTAACTCACACCCCGCTAAAGTACCGTGCATTTGTCTCCAAGTTCATACGCCGGGTGCTGATTGCTCGGATGGCTGAAGCCCCAGATTTAGCTAGCATGTACCATGTCAAGCTCCGTGATGGTTATGAGACCGAAGACAGACTGAAGGACCCCGAGACTATGCGGCAAAGTGAGGAAGAGCTGAGCAAACTCCTGGATGATGTTGAGGCACAGCTTAACAAGACCAAATATCTCGCTGGCGATGAATTCTCACCGGCTGATTCGATGTTCATTCCCATTCTTGCACGAATAGCCCTTCTTGATCTGCATGAGGAATACATCAGTAGCAGGCCCAGGGTCCTAGAGTACCACACATTGGTCAAGCAGAGGCCAAGCTACAAGGTTGTAATTGGGAAGTACTTCAATGGGTGGAAGAAGTACCATACTCTCTTCAGGACCTCGTTCTTCCTTTGTGTTCGAACCTTGTTCCGAAAATACTAAGTGGTTCAGCGTGTTGCGTAGACGATCCATGCTGAACCAATGTGTAGAGTGAGTTTAGGCTGAATATATGACCAGTATACCATCATGTGTTTTTCCTCCAAGGCCAGGCTGATGGTTCCTGAGAGTTTTGTTTTCTATAGACCTGTCTGCTCCAATGTCGCTGTTTAGAGCCTACAGAATCTAGATGTTGAATTACTTACAGAATAATAGGCCTATATATATACAGTTTGGGTTTTCTTATACGATGTGTCTCTGTTCATGGACAAATATTATTTCTATCATCTGTTCTAGCGCGCCTCATATCTAAAGTATCTTGTGTACTGTCACTGCAATCTTCTTTTTCATTTGATTTTACGTTTTTCAAGTTTGTTAGAGAGCTTAGTCTCTTCAATTTCATATTATTTCTAACTCATAGCTTCTGATTGCAAATTAAGTTATGAATTGAAATTTGTTTACTCATATTTTTCTCATAGCTTAATTTTTCTGACGTCGGCGTGTGTGGAATTGGCCCTGTGTGCTCCGATGTTGGGAGTGGGCTCAGCCCTTGTTGTTTCGGTTTTCGCCCGGGTTTTCCGTACTTAACTGGGAAACAATCTTCTTCTTAATCAATAAAATGGGCAAAGCTTTGCCTTGTGTTAAAAAAAATATTTTTCATAGCTTAATCAATAAAGTGGTCGGACCCTTCCCTGGACCCTGCGCAAGCGGGAGCTACATGCACCAGGTTGCCCTTTTTTTTTTTTTTCATGCTCATATTTTTTTAAACTCAAATAGCAATATACTATTTTCCTACTGTATGAGTGCAGAGCTTCCCAGATATATGTATGCAGAAGATCTCCATGCACATGCTTTACATGTACAGTACAGGACAATGGGCCCCATTATCATTGACTCTATAGTGATACTAGATGCACTAGGTGTCTTTATTACTTGATCCCCTTGTGGTTGTCGATAGTGCACAACACGTCTATTTATACATCAGAGCTGAAACACTTTGTCCAGCAATTCCAACTTGTTGTTTGATACTTTTTTCCTTCAGATCTTGTAGGCTCTGAGAGTAAGCAGGGAAGAGGAAGAAAGAGAGAGCATAAGAGCGCTAGGAATGGGAACATGGAGGAAAGCTTAACTTTTTTGTTTTCACCTCTAGTGTTGGAGGTGCAAATATTTAGTTTTGTGCTTTCCTGATGTCTCCCATTCCTATGGTTCTTGAGCACTCCTTCCTCTCCCCTTTCGCTTGCGCAATAGATTAATGCATAAACCTTAAATATGTGTGCACATACTTAGATTGTCTGAGAATCTAGAAGGCTAGTCGAGAAAAGGAAGAAAAGAGAGCCTGAGAGCAGTGGGAATGGGAACATGGAGGAAAGCCTAACTTGCTTTGTTTTCGCCTCTAGTGTTAGAGGTGAGAATTCAGTTTGGTATTCCCGATGCCTCCTATTCCTATTGTTCTCAAGCACTCCTTCCTTTTCTTTTTGGCTTGCTTGGTTGCTTTAGC